TAGTGTAGTCTCTATGTGAGTACTTCGGCTGTATTCAGTGTTGGAGATGCATATGACTGCCTCCATGGTCTAGGTAGTGACACTGTGTTGGTTCATTGAGGACTAGAGAAAACTCTTGAGTTCTTGGGAGAAGTGCCTGAGTGTCCTGTTATTCTTTGGCTAAGATGGGTGACCTTGGCCAGGCTTGTTGACACCTTGACTGGTGACTCATGACATTGATGGGTACACTGGGGTATACTGAGACTCCTTAGTTTGAATGGGTGACCCTGGGTGGTGTTTCTCTTTCCTTTTTTCTACAGGCAGAGGCTCCTCCTTGGTCCTTGCTTCCCCTGGTTGGGGGATGTATTAGTATTGATTGGGAATTTTCTTTCTTACTCTATTTGGGTATCTTGGGTTTCTGCACTCCCAGGGGCTTCCATGAGTGTCTCTCCCTGGATCAAGGCAGTTGTGTGAGCTGTGCATGTACTGAACCCCCCCCCCAAGTGTGCTACCATGTGTGGCAGCATAATTTCATGTGTTGGGTCAATGAGTCATGGGTCTGTGCTCACTTGCTTCTTTCCCTGGGCTCTGCAGGTGACTCTCCTTGTGTCAGTGCAGCCAATCAGTCAGTGGGCTGCCTGCATGGTGGTGGTAGATGCTTCTGTGGCAGCAAGCAGCACTTGTGGTGGCAGTGGTTGTGGTGGTGACTGTGGCAGACTACCTGCACAGAAGCAGTATTTGTAGCAGTGATAGGGGCTGCTGTGGCTGGTCAGGTCCCTGCATGTTCCTGCCATCTGTCAGGTTGGGGCTGCCCATGGCTGATGAGGTCCCCATGTGCACTGACATTTTTTACCTTAAACAAGAGTTACTACTGGGTGAGGTGTATTTAACATAATCAGAAAAGGAAGGCAGGTGTGATGGTGGTAGTTTGAGGTGCATGTGGGGCTTGGCCATCAAGATATATTAAGATCTGGGACATGGAGATTAGTGCTTAATGTATATACATATTTCTTAGTGATGGGAGAAAACAGAATATACATATACACCCATATTTACATATATGTGTATATACAGATATAAATAGAGATATAGATAGAGTTTAACATCATAAAGTGGGTGTGATACTGTCAGATCATTTTTTCCCCGTGGCCCCAATTTCCTAATTTTAACTTTTTTACCCTACATATTAAAATGTCCACATCATGGAAAGCTTAGTCAAAATAGCCTCATCCAAGGAACATGTATATAAGAAAAGGTATGTGGAAAGAACAGAGTAAGAAGCTCAAGAAATACCTCTTTAGAGAGTGGGAGAAAGAATGAAAATTTGTGAAGATGTAGGGTTTCTAGCAAAGTGGTGCAAAGAATCTTTGCCCTTTGCTACCTAATCACAAGTCAGTTAAAAAGAGCTTTTGCAGCTATGAATTAATGAATTAGTCTTATTAATTAGTTCTTTTAAAGCCCTGTTTAACAATATATCCTAAAAGTTTATGGTCACTAACATTGATTATTTAAGGAGATATTTTCAATAATATTTTAAATATATTGACTTGGGCACAACACTAAATTCAATTGAAAGGATATTATCTAAATATATTTTTAGACATCTACTAGATATTGTTAAATCTACTGTCCCTTTACTGCCTTGACAATCTGCAGGAAGTTTGGATCTTATTTTGGTAATCAGTGGTGGTAATGGTGATTTGTATTTTATTTTATACTTAAAACATCATAAAATGTGAAACACCATGGTAAGTACACACAGTAATTTTTTTTGTATCTGACCTATAGCCAGAATTTAATTGTTATATGAAACAGTATCTTAAAGAAGTAGATCTGTTAAGATTTTGAAATAGTTTTAGGGAAATCTTTGCCTATTGTAGAAGTGTAATTATAGAATATAGTTTGGATTTAAATAAGAAATTAGTGTTTAAATTCTACTTATGAGAAACATGTCTATGTATATGTATTTCAAAAATATTAAAAAAAATTAAAATGTGAGTTATTTTAAATATTTTTAAAATAATATGTACATAGCAAGAAAATTTAATAAACTTCACAAGCATTTGCTACTTTCTGACTAGTAGTTTTACCTTACCTCATGAAGTAAACTGTTATAAAATATATAAGCTAAAGTGACCAACACTTGGTGGTAAGGAATATATATTTCTTTGTTTCTACTGTAGTTTACATCATGCTGTCTTACCCTTTGTATGTTCTTAGTAATTATTTATCAATAATATGAGAATTATACAATGGAAAATTAAAAATTAAAAACTATTGTGTAGAAGCTATTTCTAGAGTTGTGAGCATAGTTTTTCTCTAGTCGCTTTCTCCATCTTTGTTGAAAGCTCTTTGTAGGCAGAGACTGTAGAGCTTGCTCTTGTGTATAGAATCTATGCTTGGCAAAGATAACCTGGAAGCTGCCTGTCGAATAGATTAGAATAAGCAGAGACTCCAGGAAGATGGCAGATTACTTATAATTTGCTCTTCTGATTGTCCTTTACTTCAAACTTCCCACTGATTTGTTTCCAGTTTGTTTTCTATTTTCTCTTTAAGCTATTTCCTTCATGAACTTCTTGTTTTACACCTACTACTTAAATATCATTTTCCAACATAGCAATTATTGTCTTCTAATACTTAGGTGAACCACTCATATACTGTGTTTAACCCCTCGCCCCCGTGCAAGAAGGTTAGCCAAGACCTCTATATTCTTTTCTGTTCTCCATATGACTGATCTTATCAACTCTCATGGTTTCAGCTGCATCTATATGCAAATGGATATTAAGATATCTAGCTCCAGACCAGATTTCTTACTAAATTTGAGAATCTTAATCTCAATGTGTATAAAACCATACCCATCATCTCTTCCTTAAAACATTCTCCTTCTCCACCTAAACACCAAGTTAGACACTAGGAGTCACCCTTGACCCTTCCATCCTTAACTAGAAGCATCATCTTCAATCAATCAATCATGAAATCTTACTAGTTCTACATCCAACTTTTTTCTCTACTCAGTTTCCTGTAGTCATATGTTCTATTTTAGTTCTCATTTGTTTTGTCATCACCTATTGTCTGGGTTATTGTAACTATTCCCCTTCCTCCAAAAGACAAACTTTTGACAATATCACTTGCCAGTCTAAAAACAATATTTTAGTGATTACCTTTTGCCAGTAGGTTAAAGCTTATTATTATTACTTTTTTTTTTTGTCCTTTTTTTGAGACCGGCCACACCACGCTCAGCCAGTGAGCACTGTGAGTGCACCGGTCATCCCCATATAGGATCCGAACCCGCAGCGGGAGCGCTGCTGCGCTCCCAGTGCCACACTCTCCCGAGTGCGCCACGGGCTCGGCCCAAAGCTCATTATTTTTAATAAGACCTATGAGGCCTTCATTAATCTGATCCCTGACTTCTCTCTAACTATATTTCCTGTAACTCTCGGCCTCAGACATCATTCATATTTCTTCATATAGGGTTCTGTCTCTCATTTCTATCCCTTTGTACCAGTTTTTCTCGAGTGTCCTTCCCTCTCCCCATTTGCCCAGCAAGGTCTTACTCATCTTCTAAGACTCATCTCAGGCAGTAGCTCCTTCAGCCCCTCTTCTCTGAACTTTAGCTTGTGTTAGGTGTTCTTCCTTGGTGCTTCTAAAATGCACTTTGCAGATACCTGTAACCACACCCAGCATATTAGTGTGTAGTGATCTGTGTCCATCTCTACTCCTAGACTGCAATCTGTGAGGACAGAGACTACCTTATTCAGCTTCATATTCTTGTTATCTAGCATAGGGCCTAGCACTTGCCCAATATGTATTGGTTGAATGAATGAATAAATGAGGGATTGGGGAAGCACCTTTGATTAGAGTAACCTTTTATATTATGGAAAATATTTCTTCCTGTTAAGAGGCATCCTGAAACAACATTGGGCCCCAGTTTTTTCATTGATGAGTATATTCAACAACAACATGATTCTATTCATCCTTGTAGGTTTAAAATTTTGCCCATACCCTGGAGGTATTTGACAATGTCTGGTGACATTTTGGTTGCCGTAATTAAGAAGAGTGCTACTGGCACCTGGAAGGTGGAGGCCAGGGATGCTGCTAAACATTCTGCAATCTACAGAGCCAGTCCCCCACAAGAAGGAATTATCTGGCACCAAATGAGAAACCCTTCTTTTTTCACTGACCATGCCTTATTTTTCTTATCACTGGTAGACATTATAAATATTGTTTTTACTGCCTCTCCCCCCAAAGATGTTAAACTCTATGTGTGAAGGCAGAAATTTTATTTGTTTTATTCTTTTGGTGGTTATGTGTTGAGTGAATGAATAGATGACTGAATGGCAAGATATAGCAATTCTTCTGAACTGTTCATTAAAAGTTATGACATAGATAATTTCCCTTTATTTCATTTCTTATTTACAGGACAGGAGAACTGCGAAACTTGACAGCCCCTTGTAATGCCAATTGCAACTGTTTACGATCATATTATTATCCTCTGTGTGGACAAGATGGAGTTCAATATTTTTCTCCCTGCTTTGCAGGTTGTTTAAGCTCTGTTTCAGAAAGTAAACCAAAGGTAACTTGTGTCTGCTACTTCACCCTTAAGGAGGCAATGTGTTTGTGTATTTATGGATGTCTTTGATTTCTCTACTGGGGTTATACAATGCCTGTTCTCTTTTTCCTGTCCCACCTCCTCCATTAAGCAGACCCTGACCTCTCCAGCTAGAATAGACTCTGCCTTTGTGCCATTTGCAGTTATTGTTGAAAAGTCATTTGGGCAGTTACTGACATACATCTTTGTAACATCACTTCTGTTGCAGCAGCAAAATATCATTTACCTTTTTACATTGTTTTATTTTTCCTCAGCTATACTTTAAGATCCTTGAAGTCAGGAAAACTTCTCTTAGTCTCACTAAGTACAGTGTATATAATAAAAACTTAATACATGTTGTTTATTTTATTTGATGCACCATGGCTTCATTCATTTTTTATTGAAACCTATTGATTGTATGCATTTGTGGGGAACAAAGTTATATTTGAATTCTTGTATATAGTTTATGATGACTAAATTAGGGTAATTAGTATGTTCTGCATTGTGGAACTTAATCATTTCTTTGTGATGTGGACATTTGATCTCCGCTCTTCTAGCCATTTGATAACATAAAGTAAATTATTGTTAATCATAGATGCCTAGATTGACTGTACACCAATAGAACCTATTTTTCCTAATTGTAATTTTTGTCCATTAACCAACTTCTCAATATCCTCCCCATCCCCTTACCCGACTCTAGTAATCATAGTTCTACTCTCTCCTTCTGAAAGTTCAACATATTGTTATTTTATTTATTTATTTATTTATTTTTAGATACATTTTAATATATCCAAATCATTAATTCAGTCTCAAATACAAATTTACTTTTAATTCTGAATCAGCATGCTTATCAGTTTACCCAGATGTTATTTCTTTTTAATACAGTTTGATAATTTAAGAGAATTCAATAGAATTTTATTGTACTATATCTAAAATCTAAAGATTTCATTTTGTCTAAGTTTAGGAGCCCTGTGAATAAATAATATTCACATTCCAAGTAATACATAATATATTATGCATTAGCAGGTAATGTGAAAACTTCAAAAGGACTGGAAATAGTATACCATATATACTATGGTATTAGAGGCCAAAATGAATGATATGTAAGCATTATATGACAATCTTGAATATTTGAAATACGGGAGAGTAAAATGGCATTCCTTTTTGTTTGTAAAGCTAAATTGAAGATTGCAAGAAAAGATTTCAACATAAATAAGTAGAAATAGTTAATTGAAATAATCTATAAAACTACTTCAAATTTCTTCTAAAACCAATATGGATATGCATGTGCATGTGTGTGTTAAGTTTTATACTTTATATGTTCATATAGACATACACATAAATATATATGCATATATATGTACATATCTTTAATGATTTTATGTGTAATTAATACATAAAACTTTATCTAAACAGACTAGGCTTTGACTTTCCTGCTGGAGGTAAACCAAAATGTGAGAGGACTGGCCAGTTAGCTCAGTTGGTTAGCGTGTGGTGTTATATCACCAAGGTCAAGGGTTTGTATTCCTGCACCAGCCAGCCAAAACAAACAAAAACCAAAATGTGAGAAATAGTGTTTTTTCTTACTACCTAGCATATATATTTTAAAATAACATTGAAAAATTTGTCGTAAAAATGTCTGTGGTGAATCATATTGGACTTAATAGACTTGGATGATATATGTTAAGTTTTAATCTTTGGACTAAGACTAATTATGTCATTACATAAAGTACCTATGAAAAATTAATAAAAGACGTCAGGAAGATTTTTAACCCCCAAACTGAGGATTATCTACCTTCAAGCCAGTAGACATAAGGGGTTGCTTAAGTTTCAAAAACACTTTGAGAAAATTAGGTATTTGTATCAGTTATAAGGAATCAAATTCCACAAGTGAGCATGATACATATCCTATAATCAGAACCACCTAGCAAGTAACTATTCCTTTAAGAGGTGGATAAGTAGGTAGCATTTTCTTGTATATAAGTATAATCAAGTAGTGACTAATTTTGATTAGAAGAAGATTATGGGCTGGCCAGCTAGCGCAGCTAGTTAGAGTGAAGCATTATAATATGAAGGTCTGAGGATTTGGAACCCCATACCAGCAAAAATCCCCTGAGACGTAGAAGAAGATTATGATAAGAAGGTAGATTATTAAGAAGGGTTTACTCACATAACTAAAGATGTATAGACAAAAATACCATCCCGCACAAGGAAACAAACAAAAATGTTATACCTAGAGCCAACTTGAAATGGTATTGATTATTTTGATATGGTTAATTTGATATTTATATTTTTCACCAATGCTAAGATAATTGCTGCCTTATATAGCAAGTTGTCTTTCAGGTATTGTTTAGGAAAAACAAGTTATTTTGACTTTGAAATTTTCTATTTGTTCTGGTTTTTTTACATGTCCAATTAGTTCATGTATTCACAGGTTTTTTTTTTCCTATGAAATATTTCAGATAGGCAAAATACATTTATAGTAATGTAATAAATACATATTCACATTTGTTCAAAGTAATATTTTCACACTAGTGACCCAAACTACAAAAGCAGACTTTGACTAATAGCAATAAAACATTATTTGAGCAATTACGGTCTACTGAAAGTAGTCCAGAATGCGCAAGATGATGTAACTGTTATATTCTCATCAAATTGTTTTACAATAAGCAAATTATAGGTTACAAGTTGAAGTAATGGCCATGGAAGTCAAACATAGATGATTCTACTTTATAAATATTGTTTGTTTCCACTTGCTTAATTTCTTAAGGGTTAATTAGTCTTTCTCAGCATTTTGTTGTTGTTGTTGTATGTAGATCAAGACAGAATGAGAGTGTTTGGCATGTCTAGAGATCACTTAATTTAAAATATAAAAATATATTTTCAAAATAAACACTTTCAGTACTTTTATTTCTAATATTTTTAGATATATTACAACTGTTCCTGTATTGAAAGGAAAACAGAAATAACATCTACTGCAGAAAGTTTTGGTTTCGAAGCTAAAGCTGGAAAATGTGAAACTCAATGTGCAAAATTGCCCATATTTCTTGGCATATTCTTTATTACAGTTATTTTTACCTTTATGGCTGGTACTCCTATAACTGTGTCCATCCTAAGGTATGTATTACATTGCAAAATTAGCAATCCTTAAGTCAACATGTTGAATGGAAAGAAAATAAACTCAGGGGCTCATTTGGGGTTTATACTGAACATTCGTTCAACTCAAATACCAACTCAGCCCTTACAAGATCATTGATTCCGTAGCATTGGTAAGTACCTCACAGAACCCCAGATGCATGAGGTTTAATGAGACCATGTATGTGCAAGTGTCTTACCATTGCCTACTTGGCACATACTTGATGTTAGTTTCTCTGCTTCTTTCATGAAGCTTCCATTGTGAGCGGGAGATTGGTTCAATTATATTTGAGTATCATGGAAATAAAATGTATTCCACATATGCCAGAATCAGAATAACATACATTCTACCTTATACATTAGGTGCTGTGATATGAAATCTAGTAAACAGTGCTTATCTATAAGAAGTTGGCTGTACCTGGCTGTTTGCCAATGTTTTGTGCTTTCAATTGCTCTTCCTGCTTGACAAAAATATTTCCTACCAGCATTTACATACAGTCATCCACCTTTCTTTATCTTTGCTGACAAACTCTAGCTTTTTCCTTTTTCAATCTTTTGTTCCTTAATTATTTACTCATTCATCTTTTCATATATTGTTTCATGAATGGAAAGTTTAGGGATTCTGTCTAAAAGCATTAAATAGTTAATTAACATAACATGGAAATTGGAGGTATTTATATTTATTTGTTAGTTTTTTGTTTTCAAGGGCATTATACTATTTATTTACTTATTTATTGTATTTTTGGCCACAAAACAAGTCTTAATACATTTTAAAACACTAGGATCATAGAAAATATGTTCTCTGACCACAATAACAGAAGGAAGGTTAGAAAATTCACATACGTGTGGAAATTAAACAACACTCTTGGGCCGGCCCAGTGGCGCACTGGAGAGTGCGCCGCTTGGGAGCGCGGCGGTGCTCCCACCGAGGGTTCGGATCCCATGTGGAGACCGGTTCCCGCTCACTGGCTGAGCGCGGTGCGGGCGCAACACTGAGGGTTGCGATCCCATTGCCGGTCCCCGGTACGGGCACGACACCGAGGGTTGCAATCCTGTTACCGGTCAGTAAAAAAGACAAAAAGGAAAAAAGAAAACAACACTCTTCTCAATAACCAATGGATAAAAAGGAATATCACAGGGAAATTAGAGAGTACTTTGAGATAAAAATCAAAGTACAACATATTAAAATTTATAGGATGCAGGGCTTATGCAGTGCTTTGAGGAAAATTTATACTTGTAAACACTTATATTAAAAATAAGAAAAACCTCAAATCAGTAATGTAAACGTGTACCTTAAGAAAATACATAAAGAAGAGCAATCTAAACCAAAAGCAAATATAAGTAGAAAATAACAAAGATTACAACAGAAATATATGAAATAGGGAATTTAAAAAATAGAGAAAATTAAAAAAACCCAAAGTTGATTCTTTAAAAAGATCAACAAATTTGTAAATAGAGAAAATTAAAAAAACCCAAAGTTGATTCTTTAAAAAGATCAACAAATTTGTGAACCTTTATCTAGACTGACCAAGAAAAAAAGAGAGAAGACTGAAATTACTAAAATCAGAAATAAAATAGGGTCATTATTACATTACCATTGTGGTTTCTTGTGGCAATAAGATTTAATTTCCTTCTCTTTCTTGTTTGCATTTTTGCTCTACCAGTGGGTTTTGTTCTTTCTTGTGTATTCGTAGTAGTAATTATTGTTTTTTAGAACCCAGATGCAGGACTTCCTTGAGGATTTCTTGTAAGGCTGGTCATGTGTGGTGATGAACTCCCACAGTTTTTTTGTTTGTCTGGAAAACACACTATTTTCCCTTCATTTTTGAAGGATAGCCTTGCTCAATGTAGTATTCTTGGCTGATAGTTTTTTTTTTTTTTTCTTTAGTATTTTGAATATGTCATCCCATTTTCTTCTGGCCTTTAGAGTTTCTGTTAAGAAGTCTGCTGTTAGTCTGATGGGGGCTCCCTTATAAGTGACTTGATGCTTTTCTCTTGCTTCTTTTAAGATTCTCTTTTTGTCTTTGAGCTTTTCCAGTTTGACTGTAATGTGTCTTGGAGAGGTTCTTTTTGGATTGTATCTGTTTGGGGAATCTTTGAGCCTCCTGAATATGATGGTCCATGTCTCTTCCTATACCCGGGAAGTTTTCCATTATTATTTCATTGAATAAGTTTTCCGTGCCTTTTCCTTTCTCTTCTCCTTCTGGAACACCCATGATTTGAATGTGTGCCTACAGTTATCTGCTAGCTCTCTTAGATTTTCTTCAATTTTTAAAGTTCTTTTTACCGTTTTTTGTCTGCATGGCTTATTTTGAAAGGACTGTCTCCAAGATCAGCATTTCTTTTTTCTGCTCGTTTTAGCCTACTGTGTAAGCTCTCTGTTGTGTTTTTTATTTCATTCAGTAAATCTTTCAATTCCCTGTGTTCTGCTACATTTTTTTTTTAGGTATTAATCTCTTTGAAAATTTCCTCTTCCATGTACTGGATTTTTTTCCTATTTCACTATGTTGTGTAACTGAGTCTTCTTGTATCTCAGTGAGTTTGCTTAATATTATTGCTTGAAATTCCTCTTCAGTCATTTCAAGGGTTTCCTGCAGTCTAGGGTCTGGTATTTGAGAATCACTGTATTCTTTTGGTGGTGTCTAATTTTCTCAGGTTTTCTTATTTCTAGTATTTCTAAGTTGATGTCTGGTCATTTGGTAGAGCAGTTGCTTCTTCTGTTATTCTGGAGTGGGCTTTGAGGAGAGAGATGTCCTCTTCTTTTTCCAGTCTCTGCTGGTGACTCCTGTTGTGTCAATGCAGTTGAGTGTCTGGTGGGCTGTCTGCATGGTAACTATGGGTACTGCTGTGGTATCTGCCGCTTTTGTGGCAGCTGTGTTGTGGTGGTGGACCACCTGCATGGAAGTGATGTTTTTGGCATCCTCCTGGCCTGCTTCTAGGCAGAGGGGGCTGCCCTTGACTTCTGTCTAAGGATCTGGGGTGTGCTCTCTAAGGTATTTATATTTAGAGAAGAGAGAAAACGCTTTTTAAAAATTCGTTTTAGAAAAATTATACAAATAACCTTTCAACTACATTCATACCTCAGTATCCATATGGGATTACTTCTAGGACCCCCCAAGGTTACCAAGATCCATGGATTCTCAACTCCCTTATGTAAAGTGATGTAATATTTGCATATAACCTACACAAATTCTCCCATATACTTTAAATCATATCTAGATTACTTGTAATACCTAATACAATGTAAATGCTATTTAAATAGTTATTATATTTTTTGTATTATATTTTTATTGTTGTATTGTTTTTTTTATTTTTTTCCCAAATCATTTTGATCCATGGTTGATTGTATCTGTGAATGCACAACCCACAGATACAAAAGGACCAGACTGTACTCATTTGTTTTTAAAGGAGAGTAGATCTCTTTTATCTCTCATATGACTCTCTTGTGTGCAAACATCATGTATCATTCATCTTTGGTAGTCATACTTTAATTATTGTTGAATCAGCAACTGTTTTAAATTCCCTCAAATTTGTACCCTTATTCCACAGGTAGAATTTCAGTCTCAAATTTAGTAAGAGTAAGTATTATGTGCTTGCAACTTACGTTAATAGTGATAGTTAAAAATTTGTACAAATGCTGATTTTATTTTATTTGTAATAATTTTTCCCCCAGATTTATTGAGGTATAATTGACAAATGAAAATAGTGTATATTTAGGGTGTTCAATGTAATGTTTTACATACATCAATGTTTTGAAATAATTACTACAATCAAGCTAATGTACATATTCATCACTTCACACTGTTACCATTTGTGTGTGTGTGGTAAGAGCCTTTAAGATATACTGTCTTAGCAAATTTCAAGTATATAATACAGTATTATTAACTATAGTTACCATACTATACATTAGAACTCTAGAACTTATTCACACTGCATAATTGGAACTTTGTGCCTTTTGGCCAACATCACACCATTTCCCCACTCCCCAGATTCTGGTAGCCACCATTCTACTCTCTACTTCTGAATTTGAGTATTTTATAATCCACATATGAGTGAGATCATGCAGTATTTGTCTTTCTGTGCCTGGCTTGTTTCTGTTAGCATAGTATCATCCAGGTTCATCCATGCTGTTACAAATTGCTGATTTCCATCATTTTTTAAGGCTGAGTAGTAATATATACCACATTTTCTTTACCCATTCATCCATTAATGGACACTTAGGTTGATTCCATATCTTATAAACATGGGAGTGCAGATATCTTTTCAATACACAGATTTTATTTCCTTTAGATATATAACTAATAGTGGAATTGCTGAATCCTATGGTAGTTTTATTTTTAGTATTTTGAGAAACCTCTGTACTGCTTTCCATAATGGCTGTACCAATTTACATGCCTACTATCAGTGTAGGCACGGTTCCCTTTTCTCCACGTCCTTGCCTTTTGTTATCTTTTGTCTTTTTAATAATATCCATTCTATTGCTCAGTGATGTTGAGCACTTTTTCATTTACCTGTTGGCCATTCATATGTCTTCTTAGGAGAGATGTCTGTGCAGATCCTTTGTCCATTTTTTAATTGGATTATTTGTTTTCTTGTTATTGAGCTGTTTGAGTTCTTCGTATATTTTGGATATTAACCCCTTATCAGATATATGGTTTGCAAATATTTTCTCCCATTCACTAGGTTTTATCTTCACTCTCTTGATTGTTTCTTTTGCTGCCTAGAAGCTTTTTAGTTTGATGAAATCCCATTTTTCTATTTTTTGCTTTTGTTGTGTGTTCTTTTGGTGTTATATCCAAAAAATCATTTCCCAGACCAATGTCAAGAAGCTATTTCCGTATGTTTTTTTTTTTCCCTAATAGATTTACAATGTAAAGTCTTATGTTTAAGTCTTTAATCCATTGTGAATTGATTTTTGTATATGGTGTGAGGTAAGGGTACATTCTTTTTCATTTTTTTGCATGTAGATACCCAGTTTTTCCAACACTATTTGTTGAAGAAACTGTTCTTTATCTACTATGCGATCTTGGCATCTGTCAAAGATTGATTGCCTATAAATGGAAGGATTTATTTTGGGGCTCTCTATTTTATTCCTTTGGTCTATCTGTTTTTATGTCAGTACCCATACTTTTTGATTACTATAAATTTATAGCATATTTGAAATCAGATAGTATGATGCCTCCATCTTTGTCCTTCATCCTCAAGATTGTCTTAACTATTCTGTTTTTGTGTCTGTGTGTGTGATTCTATATGAATTTTAGAATTGTTTTTCTATTTCTGTGAAAAATGTCATTGGAATTTTGATAGGTTTTGCATTAAATTTGCAGATAGCAAATCATAGTATGATCAATTTAATAATATTAATTTTTCCTATCCATGAGCAAGAGACACCTTTCCATTTATTTGTTTCTTGAATTTTTTTCACTAATGTTTTATAGTTTTCAGTGTACAAGTACTTCACCTCTTTGGTTAAGTTTATTCCTAAGTATTTTATTTTATCTTTTGATGCTATTATAAATTGTTTAATTGATTTCATTTTTACATAGTTCATTGTTAATGTATAGAAATGCAACTGATTTTTGTATGTCAATTTAGTATTCTGAAACTTTGCTAAATGCGTTTGTTAGTTCTAACAAAGTTTTGGTGGAGTCTTTGGGGTTTTCTACATGTATATGATTATGTCATCTGCCAACAGAGGTAATTTTACTTTTCATTTCCAATGTGGATGCCTTTTATTTCTTTTTCTTGCCACATTGCTCCAGCCAGGAATTCCAGTACTATGTTGAATAGCAGTGGTAAGAGCAGACCTCCTTGTCTTGCTCCTGATCTTAGAGGAAAGGCTTTCAGCTTTTTACCATTGAATATCATGTTAACTGTGGATTTGTTACATATATGGCCTTTTATGTCAAGGTTATATACATTATATACATTATATACATTCCTGCTATATCTAATTTGTTGGGAGTTTTTATGAAAAATAATGCTTGCTAAAGAATGTACTTTCTCTTTTACATTTTTAAAATTCATAGGGGCTAGTGACTCTTTTGTGTTAATTGCAATATTTTAGTCCAAGTAACGTTTTTCTTCTTTTATAATTCTAGAAGGAGTAAATCATTTATAAGCTCTTAAAATAATTTACATTATGTGCACATTTAATTTAATATAGAAATGCTAAACTGATATAAATATGAACTTAAAGAGTATATATACTATATTATTATTTTGGTCTCATATATATTTAATACTTTCAGATGTGTTAATCAGACACAGCGGTCTCTAGCATTGGGAATACAGTTCTTGTTGCTTCGATTATTGGGTATGCTATTTTTCTTAATTCATTAGTAACTACTATCTATTTTGGCTTTAGTGTTATTATTCATTTATGGTATGTACACAAAAATATAGTGAAAGACTACATAATTGTTGTTGAAGAAAACTGTTTTTTAATGTTGAGATGTAGTATTATTTATATATTACCTGAGAATATAATGACTTTACTTTCTACCTACCTGATTGGTTACCTTTTGTTTCAATTGTTTCAAATTCTCTTGCAAATATAACCTTACAGGGTGTGTTGTATTCATTTTAAATACTAAATATGATCATCAACAAACAATTCTTTATCTCCCTGCTTTTATGTCCATTCACAACACTATTGTGTTGCATTACCAATGAAAAATGATGAATTAAAGTGTTTCAGTGGTAACTGTGACATAGATATTGACTAGTTAAGAATCGATAGGAGAAACAATTTATACCAGAGAATTTTATAAGGATATATATATATATGTATGTATATATGAAGAATAGTAAGGAGATTAAAAATAATAGACATAATATTAAGTCATTTATTACAATAAAAATGAAAAGTTGATATATTAGAGATCACCTAGTCCAACTTTCCCGTTTTTCATATGAGTAAATATGGTGCTGAGAAGTGCAGGGTTTTGCCCACAGTTATACAATTAATGGTGTAATTGAGACTAGGAAGGTATTCTCTAACTCTGAGTTCAGTGCTCTTTTGACTTTATCATGCTACACAGGTCATGAAATAACAGACTCTATGTAGCTGAAATATTTGTTTAAGAAATACCACCTCAAATCATGTATTTGATTTGTAACAATTGGAAGCTCCTTAACTATGTAGAAGTTTAGTGTCTCATGGCCTCATGGGGGTGTGTGCGTGTATGTATAAGATGGTAATATTCCTAGGTACATTAGTCTGAACATACATATATGTTTGTATATACACACACACACACACACTCATACACACACATGCATGTTAGTGTGTATATATACACATGCACACATTATTTTATATGCACATGCACATACATACACATAACACATACACTAGTTCAGAAGACTTATTTGTACATCACGAATAATTTATTTCAATTTTTTAAAAGTATAATAGCTAATTTCAAAGGCACATTCATTAATCATATTTAAAAAGCAATGAATTAAAATATTTACTTAACTAAATGTTAACCCAATATATGCTAGAGGATTCTATTAAAATACGTTTTTGAATTAATTTGAAACATAATAATTACATATAATTATTTTAAAATGTTTTATTTCTGCTCCTTTACATCCCTTTGACTTGTACATGAATCAATTAATTTGCATATGGAAAGATTAATACCTATTTTTATTTAGATAAAATATATGAGGGGGTCTTCAAAAAGTTCATGTAAGGATTCATATTGTCTTTTAATTCCATTTTTCCACTAACTTTTTGAAATACTCTTGTATAACCATGTATATAAAAAATCTGTAATTGTAAACTGTGTACTTTGCCTCTTATTCTTCTAGGTACAATACCTGGACCAATTATATTTGGTATCACAATAGACAGCACATGTACTCTCTGGGATATTACTGAATGTGAAATTAAAGGAGCTTGCTTGATTTATGATAACATCAAGATGGCTCATATGCTTGTAGCTATATGTAAGTGGTGACTTCTTGATAACTTTAGAGTGATCTAATGACATCAGGAACAAAATACTTTGTTGTTGGTTACTTAGGTCATAATTGTTTTGGAATGTTCAGTCCATGCTTTGGGACCACACTATAGTCCTGAAGTGTAGAGATCAGTTATCACAGCACAGGATGATAGGCTTTGAATGGAGTCTGCAAGTCTCAGTCTTAAATAGAACAAAATAAAATTTTAGGTTTCACTGTGTCACATATTATATAATTTTCAACTTCTCTCAAAAATTTTTGGGAAGTATACCCAAAAGGTAAAAGAGAATTGTGAAAAACTCTCTGGAATGATTGTCATCTGGGTATCTGGACTTTGGATACCCAGTTTATTGTAAGAAACTTTAGTTATAGTTTAGAAGGTTAGCCATGATGTATAGCCCTTTTTGCCTTTTGTAGTCTGTATAGTCTTGTCTAAACAATAAGTGAAAGTGAAGACTAAGGAAGTGGAACAGTGCATCTAGTTTGTACTAGTAAGATGATACTTGAAATTCAAAATTTCAAAAACAATCTAACAAATTAAAATATTTAAAATAGAGAAATCCTGAATATAAATGTGTGTATGCATATACACACACACACATATATATGAAATGTATGAACATGTGATTGCTATTATTTTGACATGTGTATCAAGATAGGCTTATTAGCCTTACATGCATTTAAAACCAGAGTATGCTACCTGAATTTATAATGACAGAACAATAGAATATCCACTGAAGAAATGAATATACAAGTCCAAAAAATATGGGAAGATAAATATTGACTAGTAGAGAAAAAATTAGTCTTTCATCACTTTTACCTGTTGTTAGAAACCATTTTTTTATTCAATGTGTTTATGTTTTAAACTTGTTTAGTTGGCTTTGTCTATACTTTTTGGCCAAAAGTATGAATAATGGATTATTCCTTTTCCTACACAGTGACGAGGGTGAGAATTTTTCCCTCAACATATATACATCTTTAAATTTTCAAAAATAAACAAACTGAAAAACATTGTAATAGTTGTACCTAAGTAACTAATCATTCTATAAATCTAGTAATGCTTAGATCAGTGGGAATTCATGTTTTTCAAAGACATATTTTTAAATAAAATATTAATAATTAACAAAAAAGAACCAGATACTGCAAAAACTAAACTGTGAGACCACATTTAATTTATTCGACTGGCACTTATTAAATGCTTATCCTGTGGCTGGAACTAGTTTCTCTTCTTATTGGTGAGTTCAAAATCAGAGTTATCTGAAAACAAATCAAAGCTTGTGAAGTGAGTCTTACTGTTTCATATTTTAAGCTGATAACAAAAAATCCATTTGTTTAAGTATTGAATGTGATACATTCCCACAGAGGTTTTCTCTTAAGAACCCAAAGCTTTTATTATTTTTAGAATTATTTTCTATTGTGAACATAAAAATTCTGCAACTTATTATTCAGATTCAAGGATGATGTAAACTATTTTCCTTTATCAATGACTTTAGGTGGCTTGTAATTTTTTAAAGATATGGTATTGTGTTAACAAAATTAGAAATGGAACATGCATTTATTTAATCCCGTCTAACACTTATTTTATAAGAATGCACAATAATAAGCAAGAGTATGATAATTATTATTATACATTTTTATTGTGTAGAAAGAAAATGAATTCTAGTTCATCAAATTATATACAAATGTTTTATTTCTTTCTCCCTAATGTTTAAAGAATTTAAAACATAAAACTATATTGGGCCGGCCCGGTGGCTCACTGCTACAGTGTGCCGCTTGGGAGTGTGGTGGCGCTCCCGCCGAGGGTTCGGATCCCACATACAGACCAGTTCCCGCTCACTGGTTGAGCGAGGTGCGGGCGCAACACCGAGGGTTGCGATCCCGTTGCCGGTCCTGGTCCGGTACGGGCGCGACACTGAGGGTTGCGATCCGTTGCCAGACACGAAAAAAGACAAAAATGAAAAAAAAAACAAAAAAAACCCCCCATAAAACTATAATGCTCAAATAGTTCTTCTCTTTAAAGTAGTGTTTCTCAATTAGAATTCCTCAATGAGAATTAATTTTTATAATAATGAGAGGCCTATATGCATGATTAATTTTTATTTTTATATTTAGGTGTTATTTGTAAAATTATCACCATTTTCTTCAATGGGCTTGCAGTCTTTTTGTATAAACCACCACCATCAGGCACCGAAGTGTCATTTCAAAGTCAGAATGCAGTTATGACAACTGTTTCAGAAGAATGGGATCTCAACAAAGCAGGAAATGAAGGGTGAAATAAAGAGGAGTCTATTTTATAGCTGGAAAATTGACCTCCATTTCTAAGATTGCACATTGCCACGTCAGCATTATCTACCCAATCTGGGCAATCATATTTTTAATAATGATGTCTTATAATCAAATGTATTTTTTTTATATGTGTGGACTCTTACTTGTTTAGTTTTAATGCAAGAAAGAACTGTGCCTTCGAAGCCCACCAAAATCCTTAAAACATAAACATGCTCACTTATTTCCCATTGTTTACATATAAAATCCCCAACCAATAAGAAAAAAAATCCAACAATGAGTTAAAAGTTTACACTTCTAAAACACAGTGACGTTTCTGTCTCTTTTACAACTTGTTTGATTTTAATTTCCATTGCCAATAGTTTGAGATTATTTAGAAAATTTATGGTGTAAAAATTTAAACTAATCAAATTTATGCGATGATTGCTGCGAATTATTATTGAAAGCCCATGGATTTAAAACCAGCATGATGTAATTTGTTTTTAAATTTACGTATATTAGTTTGGCCTTTATTTATCACAGAATGTTACTGAGCTATTAGAATATGGTTTTTTTTGTGTGTCCTAGAATATACTGAATACAGAAATATGAGCATTGTGTAAACATAGGAATTTCAGGAGTTAATTTGTTGATATTGCTGATTTTTAACACTTAATTCTTATGATTCTGTGATAGTATTATTCAATTACATACATTCCAGAGGAAAGTACTAGCTTCAGTGCCAATTAGACATGAATATTTCCTAATGAACTATTGATCAATATTTATGTACTCAGTACTTTCACTTATTTTAAAAACTGATCACCTAATATATTACTTACAGCACCTAAAATAGTGCTTTGCATATGTGGACATCTATAATTGATGTTTGATTAAAATATTAAACCTGACTCTTTAACAGATACATTTATTTAAAAGTTAAAGTATTTCACAAACCTGTGAACATTATAACTTCATTTATTCAGGGCAGACTTATGCCAACTTTGCTCAGACTATGGAGTAAATAAATTAGCCAACATCAACAAAAATAACTTCTGCCATTTTAAATCAATTAAAATTGTAATTGATTTAGTTGATTTTGTAAAACAAAGATTGTGCTAGTTAATTTTACGTGTCAACTTGATTAGATTAAGGAATGCTGAGAAACCTGGTAAAGTTATCTTTTTAGGTGTGTCCATTAGGGTGTGTCCAGAAGAGATTCGCATGAAAGCCTGAGTGGACTGGATGAGAAAGATCCGCCTTCAATATGGGAGGGAACCATCCAATCTGCTGGGGGCCCGGAGGGAACAAAAAACGGAGAAAAAAGGCGACGCTCTCTTTCTATCTTCTGGAGCTGGGATATACTTTTTTCTCCTGTCCATGGACATCAGTGCTTAAGATTCTTCAGCTTTTGGGTTCCAGGAATTACACCAAGGACACTCTTGGCTTTGAGGCCTTCAGACTTGGACTGAACCACTCTACCGGCATTCAGTGTGCAGACAGCCTGTCATTGAGACTTTTCTTCACAATCACATGAGCTAATTCCCCTAGTAAATCCCCTCTCATATATTTATAACATATCCTATTTGATTCTGTCTCTCCGCAGAACCCTGACTAATACAAAAATGTAATAATCTTCATTAATTTACTAATTTAATAAGAATTGTTACCAGGTTTCCCCTATCAGCTTTTCCCAAGGTTAATTTTTTGCAAGCAATATTTTATATACACTGTGATCAGGATAATACCAGCTGAGAATAAAGACCTGGTAGGAAACCAGAAGCAGAAGGACTAGAAATTTGCAGAATTTAAGAGATTGTTTTGTGGTAATTTATGGCCAGTGATGATTTAAGAACATAGTAGAATTTATATTTATATATATATATTTTTTTTATAGTTGGTACAGGGATCTGAACCCTTAACCTTGGTGTCATAACACCATGCTCTAACCAACTGAGCTAACCGGCTAGCCCCCTAGTAGCATGTATAAACTGAAATTGAAGGAGAAGGAATCTCAGTTAGGCAAGCAAAAGCACACTTGAATAGTAGAGGAGGAGAGGAGAGCAGTGGGCCAGTAATCAGAGAGCCTCGCCTACTTAAACCAGGAACATAGAGGCACCAAAGATTGATAGTCAGCCAAAAATCCAGGTATCTGGGAAGCAGGAAATCCATAATAATCAACCAGTCAGGGCAAGACAGGCAGGGGAACAAACATATGATACATCCATTGAGAATCTTCCTCCCACGCAGCCGGACACATTCTAAGGCTTCTTCCTGTTGGAGCCAAGGCTAAACGAATCCTACATGTGGAAGCAGAGAATGAATGGAAGAATTTCATAGCTGTAAAATAATGACGAATCCTAAGGAACTCACTAATAGAGACTGGAAATGACAGCAAGAAAGGAAACAGAATAACTATACAAACATTAACCTAGGGCCACTTAGAAGAAAAAAATCACCCCTACATAGGAACAGTTTGACAGGCAGGTCACTAAATAATTGTCATTTGTAAAGATTCTTAGTTATCAAGGGCTACATGTCATTCAGTATACTCAGTTTTATAAGATGGTATCTTTTTATTTTTTTTTTTACAAACTCTTTAATGAAAATGGTTGAGGTAAAAATAATTTTAGCACTTAAAGGGTGTCAGGCTATTTTATTTATAATATACATATGTAGAAAGAATACCTCCTTTCATGATAGGACAATAAAGACACTACTGTAATTGATAATCATTATTTTTACTTTCAGATTCACTTAGATATGCTACTTCTAGAACAAAAGTTTTCATAATAGTGTTTTCATAATTTATAATGATTTTTGAGTTAGCTTGAACTTGTCAGTTGATGTATTGTGATTTTAATTAGACATATGTCTTAAGACTGTTCACATTTGAATTTCCTTAACTGTAGAAAATACAAATGTAAAATTCTTGTACGTGGGAAGAACTTTGACTTTACTATTTATATTGAAGGAAATATAAATAAAATTTTAGATCTATTTTCTTTCAAGATTTTCTTTATTTTAAACAATTATGCAAAATATAGATACATACCTTTTATTAAATCAGAATGTTTATACTACATTGTTTTGTTTGACCTTATTAAATTATATAAATTTTGAATTTGGCCTATCTCTATTTGTGAATATAAGCACATTTTACGGATGGGAAAGAGAAATCAGTTTACATTTGAACTTGGTGAATGTAGTTTAATTAATCTGATGATTTCTGGTATCTCAACAGAGAGATACTTAATTCAATATAAACCACATTCATTGTGAAATGTATACTAGGAGAATTCTTTCACACAATTTTTGTGTATGACTTTGATATATAAGCTTTATATGAGTAGGATACATGTTACAGATCATTTATAGTAAAATATCTGATACTTACAAAAATAATGTGTTTTGAAAAGTATCAACAACGGTACTTCAAAAAGTTCATGGAAAATGAAATTAAAAATAATAGAAATATGAACTTTTTGAACACCTGTTGTATTTATTTCATCTTGGCTTATCAAAATACTCAGCACAATAATTTTAAATAAATTAAATTGAACATTAATTTGAGATATAATACTCTTTTCCCCTCACTATAAGACATTTAGGTTGCTTCTGCTTTTTTTTTTTTTTGCACCAAAGTACAATAAACATTAACTTATATATTACATGTGAGTAATCAAAAATAAATAAAAGAATTCATTTTTAAAAACTGAATGGGTAAAATGAATTAAAATATTCTAGTGTTTTAGCTAGAATTAGTTTATAAAAATTATCCTCAAGAATTGATAATGTATTTCTTCTTTTTAATGTATAATGTATTATACTTGTTTTTAGTTTGTCTGACTTGCCTAAACTTTATTTTGTAATAATTTTATATTTGTAAATAGTTGTGATAACAGGTCACATAATTTCCTATAAACTTTACCCAGCTTCCCCTAGTGTTAACATTTTATATGCTCATAGAACAATGATCTAAACCAAAACATTAGTATTTGTACAATACTATTAAGAAATCTACAGACTTTATGCTAATGTTGCCAGTCATAGCCTGAGTGGTCTTTGGTCTAGATCCAGTCTAGGATTCCCACATTAAGTTTATTTATCATGGCTCCTTAATCTCTTTCAGTCTGGAACAGTTCACCAGTCTTTTTCTTTCATGATGTCCTTCTATATTGCTGCATATCAAATAACTTGAAACTGTAGTGGCTTCAAACAATGAACAATTATTATCTCTCAGTTTCTGTGGGTCAGGAATTCAGGAGCAGCTGTGTTGGGTGGTTCTGGTATAAGTTCTCTCTAGAGGTTGCAGTAACAATGTTGACAAGGGCTGTAATTATCTGAAAGAGCTAATAAGAAAGGATGTACACATGGATGTTAGAAGAAGAACTCCATTTCTCAGCATGTGGGCCTCTTTGTAGGGCCTCATGTCATGGCAGCTGACTGTCCCCAGGGTGAATGATACAAAGGAGAATGGGAGAGTGTTGTTTTGCCTCAAACAGGGTGACAGAGATGCAAAAAGGATTACTCAAAGCCCATTTCTTCTGGACAGTGAGACACCCTGAAGGGGTTAATTTCCCAGAACCTTCAAGAGAGAGTCATGCCTCCTTCGGAAAATTAACCCTGAACTGGGGTTCTGTCTCAGTATTTATTCTCTATGCCAGAAAGTTACAGAAAAAGAACATAGGTGGAGTTATGGCTAAGTATAGTTTAACAATAGAAGCTGGTAACATCAGTGAAATAACAAAGTGACTTTCCATAATGCAATTTGCAAAAGGTTAAGTCAGTCTACCAACAAAGGCTTGTTCTTAGCAAACATTTTTCTTTCCCTTCAGCAATTTCCTTAGTATGTTTACATAGCAATCAAGTAAGGTTAACCTGCACCAAGGACATCTACTCTTTGAGCCAGCAATTTTGCTGTGTTACAATTCTATATCTACAACAGAGACTTTAGCCTGGGGAAATTTTCCTGTCTTTTGCAAGGTTAACATTGTAATTTTAAAAGGTTAGGTTATACCTGGAACTACGGGGCTTTGGAAACTAGGCCCTATGAAATACATTTGCTTTATAAATGTTAGTATACTCCACAGGAGAGCCAACCAAGACAGAACCACAGCAGACAACCTTGGTAATCTTAATTACATCTGCTAAGTCCCTTCACAACAGCTCCTAGATTTGTATTTGGTTGAACAGATCAGGGAATAGAAGAAATGTTTAGAATTCTGAC